TGCGCTCGGGGGTCAAAATGAGTCAAGTACCCGCCCAGGATACCTTTGGGGCGGGACGGAGTTGTCTTGTCCTACATCTTTATAACCAAGATTCTCAATAATTAACAATGCTAACAGCTAGCTGATATGTCTTTACGTATTTGTTTTATTTTTTGTTTAACAAATGCAGCTCGGGATTCTCAGGACAATTCAGATCAATACATGGCATGTCATGTCGGTTGGATCTCGGCCAAGTCCAGGCTTGACTTCAGCCGCGAGCAAAACAACTGGGACTTATGGATGTTAACATCCGCCAAAATATGGTATAACTCAGACTCATCTTTTAATCTTTTAAGATCCATCCCTGTAGAAAGGTGCACAGTAATCACCTGTGAAACTCTTCGGGTATTGGTAACAACTCAGCAGATACCTCCTTTTTGCCAAAGGCCGAGCGTGCCAACACGCGCCCTGCAACAACTGGCTGTGCGGCTTTGCCGCAACACTGAGCTACAGTGGTAGCACCTGGTGATGAGTGGACTGACTTCACCATTTCAATCCATTTCAAGCAGTTTTAGCAATGCTATCGATACCCTTAAGAAAGCCTAGCTTTCAGCTTGGCACTGCCCATCTGATTGTCGGCCCTCTCCGCCGTCGCATCTCCAGGTGCGCTCTAAACCTTGCTTTCAACTGCCATGGCCCCGTTAATTTCCTCTGTGATCAGAAGAGCTCTGTCCATAAAGAGGCTGAAACCCGTAAAGGTCGTTTCACCTGTGCTGCTGCTGTAGATTGCTATAGAAGCTGGCTGATGGGGATATGCAGGTTTTGCAGGGAAAATCGACTGTTCTTTTTGGGGGATTTTCAACATCGATGTTTGATAACCGGATGGTAAGCCTCGAAAATTTGAACGAAAATGTCATGGTTTTCAGATTTTGAAAGGGGGCTGTATCATGGGAAAGGACTTTTGTACCAACCTGAATTTGTATCCACATCTGGCCCTCATCCACGCAAGAGCCAACCATCGGGATACCCCAATTGGTTTAATAGAAAATTGAAGAACCCTTAATTTTGATGGGTTTGCCCGCAGTTTTTGAGATAAAATATAATTATGCAGTAGTAAAAAGGAAGTGGGGGAGATTGAATTTCACGCAGCTCACAGTTGGGACTGATGATTTGAATCTAGGACCTCCTGGGGTATACAGATTATCGAAGCTACAAAACTAATCTACAAGAATAGAGGGGCCTAAATCTGGACTAAGAATCATGTGCACACGAGTAAAAACAAGTTAAACCGATATTTGGTCATTTGCGACCGTTCTTTTTGTTCTTGCACCTTTCATATATGATTGGCCGAAAATCATGGACCGGATATGGGACGGTTTCCTTTATAACCATTGAAGCGATTGATGTAGAACCCCAGTCCCAACCATGATTGGAACTCACCATTTTTGCATTTTTGACGATGACCGATGACCATTTTCTGGTCTTAAAGAGTCGCTCTTCTCCAGACCTGTGATGGTTGCAACCAGCCATCCCCATTCTGGTTGCAAATATTATAGCAATCACAATGGTGATCGAGCCAACGGAACATCCTCGGTTCCAATCTTAGCTACCCTGCAAGAAAAAAGTCGTCGCTGCTTTAAATATATGTTTTTCTCACATTAATGGCGGCACACATAATAATCCAACTTCACCAAACCAAAGTTATCTCAGAATATCCATATATGTGTGTGGGCTGCTGTGAAAATAGGAGATGCAAACACTCATCGTGATCATTATTTTCCGTGTTATTTGCTGGCCATATGTTGGAGGGTAACTCCCCATAAGTCCCCCATTTTCAGACCCCATATCCTTCGATGTTAAACTCAGATCCACCAGGGGTCACCAAGCTTTCTTTGAGGCCCTGGGGGCGGCCTTTGAAGCCTTCGACGTTTTCAAAGCCTTTGCCCCAGAAACGGCCAGGGGCTTCGCCCCATGGCACACCCACCTGGGGAATGCTGGGGATTTGGATGCAGCACTGCAGCACTTTAGGTGTAGATAGGCATGCATAGTAAACTATAAGTATAAATACATATATTAATATACGTATATATATATATAATAAATCAATAAAGTATACAATACGCTCTATACTGGTACTATTTAAATAAAAACATACATACATTTCAAAAAGTAATGAATCATGAAATCTGGCTAATCCAGCTATATAAATATCCAAGTATCGCTGGTTAGATCACCAATCTGCGCTTTGTTGATCACCCCGCCCCAGTCCTTGTTGATCAAACAGCCATGATTTGTTGCTTGAAGCCACCCATTGTTTGTTGAGACACGCGCCAATTATTGCTGGCTGACTCACCAATGTTTGATGAAACCCCGAAATGCCTTGGTTGCTGAACATCCGAACTTGCCTTGGTTTCTTGGTCGACTTCCCATTCTTCTTCTCAGCATTCAATCATGATTACTATCCCAATTTTTGTTCAGTAAAATACCATTGATCATTTTTGTTGTCAAATTTTCCCCAATGGTTGCTGGCTAAAGGATTTTGTAGATGTTTGTTTTGTGCCAGATCCTTATTCTCATTTTCCAAGGGTTAAGCACCAACTATTTGGTTTAGCCTCATTAAACACCAACATTGTTTTGGTTGGTTGCAGGGAAAAATCAAAGTACCATTTTTTCTTGGCAAAACCAGTATTCTTTCTGATAACGCCACAATCTTTTTGCAAACGCACCACAAAGCAATCATTTAACAGGAAATGTTCTGCTGGTTCAGCAGCATAAGCGACCATAAACCAATATGTCTCTTGGCAAAACCCCCAAAGTTATCGATTTTTTCGATTTAAACGCCAATAAAATTGAATTTGGAATTGCATACACCATTGAAATCCCATGAAATTCCATGAAATTCCACGGAATCCTCCATTAAACCCGATAAATTCCACGAAATCCCCATTAAATCCCAATCAACTCCCATTAAATCCCAATTCCAATCACCATAAAATCCCTATCGAATTATCCAGATTCATTGGTTTCGTAAAACGTCCGAGGCGCTGCAAAGAGCTGCGCATTTCCCATGGAAACAGCAGCGCCCGCTGGGGGTTCCAAACGACCTGTAGCCTGGCGAAATCAGATGGGGAAACTCCATAGTCATGGGGGTACCCCAGCTACTACTGGATGGCCCCCCCAGTTATAAGTTGGTTTATAAACCAAGTATAACCCCCATGAAAATTGTAGTTATATTTATTTGTATCTGCCATAAACAAGAGAATTCAGAATTCAGCCACTTTTTTCAGGCAACTTAGGTATCTTGGGGGCCCCATCCTGTACTGGATGGTTGATTTCATGGAACAGCTTTTGAGTCAGTGGATGAGACATGGGGTAGCCCCATGACTATGGAAACCTCCAGATGATTCATGCAAATTCACAGTTTGAAAGGATTTAACAGGGTCTTGGCCATGCTGCTGACCTTGCAGACCTCTCAAATTAGTGAACAATGGGAATCATATGAAATACGAAAAATAAACCATAGAATTGGGTCCGTAATTGGGGCATTGAATAGGTTTGAATGGAAAGTTTGGGGTTGAAGATAGCCACAAGAATACTTATGTGTTCTTTACGCAGAAAACATGAGGTTCTACGCCAAGTAAATTATACATGGATATACGGTATAAAAAATTTAGGCATTGAAAAAATGTACTTGTAACCAACAAGAACATGAGGTTCAACAAAGTCTCTAGAAAAAAACAGATTTATAAATGGTGTTTATAAAAACCACATATCAGCTCAAATTGGACTTCAAGAAAAACATGCCACAAAAAATGATGATTTGGGTGATGATTAATGTTGTAAGAAACAAATGGGGGTTGTGCTAAATTATTTTGCACGAAAGTGGCTCTTGCGCCGGCCTTGGGTGAACCTTGCGCGTTTCTTGCGCGACCACAGTCCCGTTTGATTTGTTGATTCTGCATGTTTTCATGCCCTGTTTTCGTGTGTAACTTCGTAACACATATACAATATATGTATATATATATAGAGTTATATATATATATAAATACAGAGACAGAGTCAAAGAGAGAGAATGTATCTATATGTCTGTGATACACGTACGTATGTGCAATAAATATAAATATAAATAAATATAAATATAAATAACAAATATATATGCCTAGGTCTTCGTTCGTAGCACTTTTTTCTGGGAGACTAGGTTGTTGACTTCTTTTTGAGATATGGGTCAGAAAAAGTAGTTCTTCACCAAAGCGCCTACTTTTGCAATTTACCTATGATTTCCCTGGTTTCATTTCATGCTGCATTACCATGTAACGCATTCAACCTCATTCAATCCTATGTCAGTTGAATTCCCTAATGTGGGCCATTGATAAAACTAAGTGAAGCAATGACAAGTGGCCCGCAAATCGACAGGGTCAACCACCACCTACCCTCTATCCACCATAAGCGAATAAAATCAAAACGCTAAACTCTGACCAGCCATGTTAGCTGGTCAATCGGCTTTGAAGTGCCACTAACAGACTCTTTGGCTCACCATTTCTTAGATTATGTTTATTTGTGTGTGCGATGTGCACGTTTTGTGCGAAAGTTCGCGCCTACAAAAACCTTCAAAACTCCCTCAAAAAGCTTCAAAACGACTACAAAAACCATCAAACGCCTACAAATCCCAAAAACTAGGTCACTTTGTTTTTTAATGTTTCGGCAATATGCAAAAAAATGGAAATGTTAAGCCTTCTGCTTCTTTTTTGCAGAGTTCTCACGGAATTATGTTTTTGGAAGAAGCATGGTCATGATTGCAAGTTTGAACACTGTGCGTGTGTGTGTGTGCACATCACCATGCGGATTGGGATGCACGACTTATTTTGTGAGAGACCATTTGAAACCAGGCTTTTTCCATGAGCGAAATCTATAATCAATTCAGGGGGTCGGGGAATGACAGAAAAATCAAGGTTGCAGTGGAGGGCATAAAGCTCACGACCGGTTTTTGGAGATATCGACCAAAACGTCTACTTTTTGAATTAGCGTCCAGAAAAAGTAGAACACTAGGGGTCGACCAAAAATTATTGATCTTTTGAAGACCTAGGTGCATATTATTCTTTTGAGAGAATTTATCTTCCTCCTCCGGCCAGCTTACACATTGTACATCCGGCTGTTTCCACAGCCTGCTGGCAAAACTTTGCCATGCTGTTTTCCTCACAGCCTAAACCGACTTGGACACTCATCCTGGGTTCTGGCATGATCTCGTTGCTTGAACCTAGAGGGTGCAGGGCTGAAATGGAGGAGAGATGTGTTACGGGGTCAACTTTGGAGCTGAAGCTTGCGCGGCTCTTGGGCGAAGCTTGCCAAAGCTTGTGCGAAGCTTGCGCGGATTTGGGCTGAAACATTCTCATTTTTGGCGGGTCTGTCCTTTTTCATGTTTTTTCAATCAAACTGCAGATCGAAACACCAGGGGGGACTTGAGCACAGAAACTGCATGAGACAGCCAATGTTATAAATACAAATTAGCATCATTATTGAAGAAACAACATGACATACCCCTACTACAATTTGCCTTGCGCAAAACCTTGGGCCGGCCTTGCGCAAAACTTGCGCGATGCAGGTTTTAAGCTACCCCACAGTTCTCCACAAACCCGCAAATTAAATTTGAGTAGGAGGGTTTTAGAACGATCCCCAAATCAGGTTTAAACAGTTAGGATAGATCCAAAATGATCCAATGCCTAAAGAGGGTAGGTGCTTCATAATTTTCATAATCATATATAATCACGGTTCAAAGCTCTGAATAAACTCCAGAAATTGGGGAATTATGAAGTTACCATCTTTGATCCTCAAAGTAGGGATTGGGTGACAAATAGGAGGATCCCAAAATACTTGGGTGGCTCAGCTCTGTCGTGCACCATGGGAATCATTGCTTCATGATTTGCTTAGTTTGGGCCAGTGAAACTGACTGTAGTACTGTTGTCGTCTCAATCTGGGCAACTTGTGATAACTCCCAAACCAGAAATTAGCTATGCTTGGGATGATTATGGATGATTATGGATGATTCCCCCCACTAAGCATCATGTTCGTGCTGTCTTTATATATATCCAGATCCATCCTGCAGCACGGACCTCGTTTCGAAGGAGCTGAGAGCTATCGGTGCCCACAATCTCTGGCAAAGCACCTGGGCCAAGTCTTGGTTGGACCTGGTGGACACGCGCCTGACGTCTGGAAAAGAAGGCCGTTTTTTCTTGATTAAATGGATTTAAATGGATTATTAATGCGTTGCGTATTCTTGTTGCTGCACGTTGCTGCATCATGTGTTGTCTTTTCTGATCCACAAGAAGCATGATTCCGGAGACAGTTCTGACAGGACCTCTCCCAAGTTGTCCCAGCAAGGTGTTGAACAAATCAAAACTGGAAGTATGATGAACTATGCCTATGCAATGGGTAATATACACTCCGATCATCTACAAACTGTGGGTGTCCTTCAGGAAAGACCAGACATGACGGCTCGGCCAAAAGGATGTGGATCAACATACCCTCTGGTAATCAAATATAGCTGGCTGGAAAACTCAATGGAGGTTTCGTTCGCTGGGAAAATCATCGAACTATTTCTGGGGGGTTCCCGAACTATTTCTGGAAGTTTTAACAGTTTAACATGTTTGAATCGGAAAATCCCTGAAAATCATCAAGAAATTTCATAATTTTTCCAGCCATCCATGTTTGATGACACCGTTGCGGATACAACATCTGTCCAGGCCAAGAACGCATCTTTTCAGACACCGCCTTTTGTCACAGTCGACACCGACAAGCTTTGACAACACACCGTCCGAAGACTGGGCGGCAGGTGTGATGCCTTCACAAAGATGTCAAAGTTCTGCCCTGCGGGCAAGAATTGCCATGATGGTAGTGTTTCATACGGATCTTACCTAAGGTGGTAAACCCAATCAAACACCCAATTCCGGGCAAGATCACGCCCTCCATGCTCTGGTTAAACACTTCGCCAGAGGTCAAACTTCGAAGACTGCCGGGCAAAGTCACCCTTGGTGGAGCCAGGGCATCATCTCACAATATGTTCATAAAAGAAACAAGTGGCATCATCTCACATAGACAATTAACGACAAAGAGATAAAAGAAGATCTGAAACTGCCAGCCAGGTCACATCCTTCAGACTCTGGTCAAAACAGAAACCGAATGCTAGTGTTTAAAGATTAGATGGCCAGTCGATCTCCTTGTGACTCAGTTGGCTTCAGCTGGGGCTGAAGCCAACTGAATCACAGGCGAAAATTCGCCCCATAGGAGACGATGATGACAATGCGCGAGCAAACAAACCCTAGATGCTTTGCATGTGCAGCTCCAACAGGCGTCATGCGCATCTGTTCTCAAAATCCGCTAAGTCTTAGCGGATTTTGAGAACAGATGCACATGACGCCTGTTGGTAAGTGTGAAATAAACCCTGGTTTTGCCATGTTTTGCTGAGACACATCCCAAGTCCATCGATTGGAATTTGCCAACATCCGCTCACAGGTGCAAGAGCTATCAATAGCTAACCTGACATGGGCCCATGCTTCGTTTTCCAACCCATGTCAATGTATTTCGTGGATCCTTTCCCAGACAGGTTGATCTGACACCCAGGCTGGGCAGTCTCTGTGCTTTAGCGGAGCACGGACACTGCCTTGATTGTATTTGTTGGATACGCTTTCCAGTCTGCTTGGGAGGGAAAATTCAAGGCTCTGGTTGAAGTTCGCACCAAAAGTCAAGCTTCGAATATCGCTGGCGAATCTCACATGCTACAAACTCTGATCAAAGTGAGCACCGAAGATGATGCTTTTGAGACTAGAGGGGAAGGTCACGTCTTCCAAGCTTTGGTCAAAGTTGCAGCATGTTGGTTAAACTTTCCAGATCTTTCCAGCTTAGGCCAATTGAAACGCGCCACGCTGCGATTGAAATTTCTTCCAAAGGTCAGACTCAGCAAAGTCCGGGGGAGTTCCACGTGATCCAAGGACTGATTTTTCAAAAAGTAGGAAGCATCAGAGTCTGCAGGCCTTCGGGAAAGTGAAAGCACCTTTCAAGCTCTGGTTATAACATGTTAATACATGTTATAACACCTGCAGAAACACAAGTGTTGGAGATTGGCCAACAACTTTAATCTTTGCAAGTCTTCTTGGAGCATGCCGCCAATCGTCAGCCTCTGGAGACTGGTTGGCAAGCTCACTTGCTCAAAGCTCTGATGAAAAGAGATCATCCAGGTTCAGAAACCTGCAAACCACCAGGCATGGTCCAGGCTCTTGTTGAACTTCCAAAAGTCAAACTTTGCAGATTTCTTGGCAGCATCACCTGCTGGCACTGGTCAAAGTCCTTCCCAGTGTGGCCACAAGTGTCCGGAAGTTTCACCCCAAAGTTTGGTAGCGATCTCCAAAGCTTAAGCTTCGAAGACTAGGAAACTTCACACCTTCCAAGCTGTGGTGCCATCACCAAGGGTCAGAGTCTCGAGCCTACTGGGAAAAAATCACATCTTTGAGGCTCTGATTGAAGTCCCTGCCAAGCGTTAAGCTTCGAAGCGGTGGAGGAAAGGCCAAAGACTCAAGGCTCCTGGTTGATGGCTCTAGCTCCCCAGAAAAATGCTGGCTGTCTCTAAAAATGAACATTTAGACAAATTTGGACAGGCTTCTTACCAACAACAATGGGGACTTCATATTGAGTTAGGGGGATTATAGACCCAACGGAATATCATGATGTGTCTTAGAAAGAGCATGGGCACCCCAAATGGATCCAAAAGATGGCGATTCCAATGGGGATACTGATGATTTACTCATGGATTTGGGGGCATCCTCTGTTGTTCAAACGCAATGAAACTCACTGGGGATCAATATATTACAGGTAAGGATTCAGGATAGTAAATAAACATGGATCTGAAACCACCACCCAGGCTCTGGTTGAACATGTCACCAAAGGTCAAAGATTTGAGGCTGCTGGGAAAATTTACAGTTTCAAGCAATCTTAAGTGAGGTGTTTCAAACTTTCCGGACAACTCCTTCCAAGGCTGCAGAAACACTGGTGACTGGTGGCCACATACGCACAGTGCAGGGGCACATCGTTGCATCGCACGATTCCCTGTTGAACCACTCGGTAGACTTCGCGGCCACGTGGTCAGGAAGGCTATGATTTCTTCACCATTGAGAAATTGCACACAAAGCTTCCTGACCCGTGCTTCCTTAAGACATCTTTGAGGTGGAGTCGTTCCGAAATATAAAATAAATGGTTGAGTTGAAACATGTTGAAACGCTGTTTTTTGCAAACCTTTCAACAAACACAACCTGACTAAGCAAACTTGAGGGAAACACGTGGGAAAATCATTGTCTGTGAAACAACATTTTGAAATGTAATCAAATGCACCACCCAGATGCACTGTTTCATCCTGGATGTCGTCCCTTTCCGTCTCAAGGGCCATATCCAACGCATGCCAAGTCATCTGGAGGGATCAAGCCGAAAATACAAAGATCACCCAGCTACTATGAGACATGGAACTATATACACCGGTTTGGAAGAAAGTACTCTCCCCCAACTAAGATTAGACCCTGGCAAATAGGAAGTTGGAAGACTACTTTCCTCTACTTGATTTAGTGATTTGTTGAGGTCTATCCTCTGGTAAACTAACATAGTTTTGGAAAACGGACCATTGATAGATTATGTACTTATTACTGTAAGACGGTTATTTTCCATAGCAATGCAATGTTAGTTTGCTATTACCAATGGCTATGTCAATTTGGGAAATGGTAAAATCCTGCTCTTAACATTCACAACGACAATGCTCTGGAGACATCTCCTGGGCTATTCCTGGACGCGAGAACACACCCTTTTCCATCCATGTCCAATATCCGATCATACACGAACATATTGTATGCAAAAATAAAAACAAATATATGATAATTATAATGTGAAATAAATCATATTCATAAACATATAGAACATACGATACGTTGTAGATGATTGTATGTGTATACATACATATGATATACATTTAAAATCATTTAAATGCATCGACAAAATGTTGATGTAAGGGATCGCGATGTGATTTGTAGCTGCTTGGCTCCATTTTTGATGTTTTGACGATGTGCTTGGTACCTGAAAATTTCGGGGACAGATGCCCAGGTCCAATGGTTTATAATCATTTTACCATATTTTACCCATGAAGCTTTAAAAGTCAAGATTTTCAAACACACCCATATGGATACCACCATAGCCAGCTCCGAAAAAAAAAGCTCCCCTTATTCCGCACCGGATATCAGTTTCCTCAGCGTTTCCTCATAGCTGGGGCTTTTGACTCTGCTTGTAGCCAGTGGCATCGACCACCCAATCCCACTGATCTTCCTCAAAATCCTCCAGCGTAGGTAGCTACAGCTGGAAAAAAACAAAGTTCGACGACGAAGATGATCCATTGAAAAAAATCACCAGGCTGCCATGCCACACATATAACATTCGTGGAACTTAACTATCAATAAATTGGTCCCTTTTTGCTCCTTTGGAATGTTGTGGGAGAATCCTGGTACCCTTTGGATTCATGGATGTTGATTCCATATTTTATTCCCCAAGTCATCTGGTCAATTCATAGGTAATTTGACCATGACTTTGACCCACAATGAGCTGCTGGTGCTTAGACGAGGGAATGAGGGAATGATCCATTTCATCACTAGTTTCATAATCATCCCAGCAACCCATCCATTTCTACCGCATTTCTACCCATCCAGCAACCCTACGTTTTTTACGCACCAGTAAGATTCGAGGTCCTTGACATCTTTGATCTCCAACCAGCTGTTCCCTTTCTCCATCTGCTCCCGCCCAAAGACGGCGCCGAAGCCCTTCAAACCTGGCCCAGATGTTCGCCGCTAAGACGTGTTTGTTGCGACAAGGTGAGGCCCTATATAAAAATTGCGACCAGTAGGAGATTTCACTAATACAAAATACATACAATTTAAGATTATATTATATATAAATGTAATATGTATATTGATTATATAAGTTATATATATAATACAAATATAGATACAAATATATATATATATAATATCATCTTGATTAACAGGTACCCCGTTCCATCCATTGAATAATTGGCTCAACATTGGCATTAACATTGCAATTTTGGGGATGCGGCCCAGGTTTGAGGCAATAGGGGGATCCATGTTTTGAAGCGTTCTATCATCCTGTATTGATTTGTGATGGTAGATCTCATCATTTTGCATTGTTACCTATCGATGCTGGCTGCAGATCAGGTTCCACTATGAATTAGGAGCTATGGCCAGCCAGAGGTCAAATTGGTTTGCCAGCGTTCTCTGGGAGAGTCAACCTTTACTAACGTCAAAGAGGATCGTTGTTCCAACATGTAGGTATTGGCAAGAACAAATGCAGCAAAACACATCATGATGTCATCTGTGAACTTGCTTCAGCAAGAAATCCCATGCAAGGCCAATTCTGCGCTTCCATGTGGGTATAAACCTGATCCCAAAGAAACAATAAGAAGGCAGTCGGCATTAGGCAGGTTTTCAGGTGGCAGGAGACATGCTACTTTGTTATAATTACATGTGTTCTTCATTCAATGCAATGCTATGCTGTCAGTTTTTGCTCCTTGATGTGACTTGTTACGTACACCCTCTCATGAAGTCAGCCATGGGGCAGGGTCAGAATAATTGACAATAGAAACCCAGCCGACCATGAGGCACCATCTGTTCCAAATCAACTCCAGTAGAAAGGTTCTGCCTCTACACCGAAATGCCCGGCCCTGCTCTCAAATACAAACTTGATAACATCATCCCATTAAATTGCATCTTATATTTGTAACCCATTCAAAATTTTCGGAAGAGGGTTCAGTTTTACATTGCGGTACGCTACGGTAGGTCATGTTTGATTACATTGCAAACATAAATGTTATATTACATAAATTACATGAGTATACATTACTACTAGTACATCAAATGTATAACGTATATAATTGTTTATGTGCAATTTTGCACATTCGTTTAAACTGTAGTCCATCACAAGGTGGCCCCCCTGGCTGTAAGCTGGTTTAAGTTTACACCAATTTAGCCATCATAGATCAGGTATAAATCCCTATAAATCCTATGAAAATCGCATGAACATCCACTTTAAGGTATAAATCCCTAGAATTTCCGGTTGAAATCCCCATTTTGGGTGGTTAAATCAGCCGCCTGTGGAGGTGTACTTGTAGCAGTCGTGTTGCGGCAGCCACTCGGCACACCGCACGGCGCGACGCCCGAAGCAGCAAACGCGCAGGTTGAGTGGCTCCGCCAAGTCCTAGGGCGGATGCGGCATGGGTTGGATGGGGAGTTGATGGTGATATAACCAACGAATATGTGGGAATGGGAATATGATGGACATATGTATATATATATATTTAATAATTATATATATATATGTGTACATACATAATGATCATAATGTATATATATATACATGTATGGGAATATATTGAACTATATGGAAATACATGGAAATCTTAGCACAAGAAATAGTGATGAAAACAAGACATATTGGTATGTCAATGTCAGCCAGAAAGAACTGGGGTTCCGGGTTTCAACTGCAAACATACGGCGGCTCAAGGGTTTGAACTGGTTTAACCAAGACAAAACTGGAGAAATGATCCCGGCAATCCCTTCAAACCCAGCCAGAAAAACCAAGTCGTCAGTGGTTTTGTTCAGCCATGAGGCCATAAACAATATTCAACTGGGGTAAACATCCTTGATATAAAAAAGTGTGTACAACATATGTATATATATATATAAGATTAAAAATACGTAAGTATATCTGTGTCAACTGATTGGTGGTTTGAAACCCGTGAAAACTCAAAACAAATCTGAAAGGATCATCAATCGAAACAGGAACTGAACAAAAACCAAAAAACACTTAATAACCACAAACCAGCTAGACCTACAATGTCCTACAAGGTACCCATCAACAAGAGAGTCTAAGCAAACTGCTATTTTGTACCAACCATTGAATTTTTGGGATACCCAAACTGAACTCCGCGCAATGCTGATATGCAACCATGTTGATACAAAACCCGTCGTCCTGTTTTTTCTTCTCTCACTATTGAAAACTTATCCCGGCACTTCCACCTTTAGTCTGGTCGAATCCTGTTTTTTTCGCTGAAATCAAGAATGCTTTTTTGGTCAGGTCTGTATCTATATAAACTTTGAACTTGTTCTGTCCAGCGATTTTGTAGCTTAGTTGTTTGGCGGAGAATATAATATTTCACTCCTTCACTTCAGCAACAAATTGTGACATGTTTTATTTGATCGTTCAATTCCCCTTCTTTCAGGGCCTCAGAGCCTCAGGCGGTTCTCATGGTTTTGGTGCCTAAATTATCACTCTGAAGGAAACACACAGCATAAGTGATAATTAATTAGCACACGTTGTAATCATTATTTCATATGATCATTGTATCAAACACGTACAAATAAATATATATATATAATTTTATATATAATTCCTACAGGATGGTGCCCCCCCCGTTTTTTTTCCCCACCTGCCAGGTGAGGGTTGTTAGATTTTATGTCAGTTGCCTCCTCCTGCCTCGTCCTCCTCCTCCTCCTCTCCTCCTCTCCTCCTCTCCTCCTCCTCTCCTCCTCCTCCTCGTCGTCGTCCTCCTCGTCCTCCTCGTCCTCCTCGTCCTCCTCCTGCTCCACTGCGATCCATGTCAGTGTGCCCTGCCGGACCTCAACCACGACCATCCACGTCAGTGTGCCCTGCCGGACCTCAACCACGACCATCCACGCCCAGTGTTCCCTGCCGGACCTCAACCACGACCATCCACGCCCAGTGTTCCCTGCCGGACCTCAACCACGACCATCCGTGCCAGTGTTCCCTGCCGGACCTCAACCACGACCATCCCCGCCCAGTGTTCCCTGCCGGACCTCATGTGGGAAGATATGGGACAAAGAATGTGCAGAAGAAAGTTAGAAAGAATGTCAGAAAGAATGTCAGAAGATATGCCAGAAGATATGCCAGATAGAATGCCAAATAGAATGCCAGATAGAATGCCAGATAGAATGCCAGAATAGATGCCAGAAGATATGCCAGATAGAATGCCAGATAATATGCCAGAAGATATGCCAGATAGAATGCCAGAAGATATGCCAGAAGATATGCCAGATAGAATGCCAGATATATGCCAGAAGATATGCCAGATAGAATGCCAGAAGATTTGCCAGATAGAATGCCAGAAAATATGCCAGAAGATATGCCAGATAGATATGCCAGAAGATATGCCAGAAGATATGCCAGAAGATATGTCAGAATATATGCCAGAAGATATGTCAGATAGAATGCCAGAAGATATGTCAGAATATATGCCAGAAGATATGCCAGATAGAATGCCAGATAGATGCCAGAAGATTTGCCAGATAGAATGCCATAAGATATGCCAGATAGAATGCCAGAAGAGCCATATAGAATGCCAGAAGATATGCCAGATAGAATGCCAGAAGATTTGCCAGATAGAATGCCAGAAGATATGCCAGAAGATATGCCAGATCATATGCCAGAAGATATGCCAGATAGAATGCCAAATAGAATGTCAGAAGATATGTCAGATAGAATGCCAGAAGATTAGCCAGTAAGAAAATGTATAAATGTCATGGTGGGGATCACACGAAGTAAAGTAATTGTTGGTTTATAAAGCCCATTAACTAGTTCGTTATATCACAAACCACAGTTGAGTCAGATATTAACCATAGTTATATCTATATCACATACGCCATAGTTATTAACTATAGTTATATCTATCATAAACCATACTTAAGCTACTTTTGATATCATAAACCATAAACTATAGTTATATCTATCTCTCTCACTCTATCTATCTATACATATATATATATCCATTAACTGTAGTTATATCTCTCTCTATGTATACTGGTTGGTGGTTTCAATCCCTCTGAAAAATATTAGTCAGTTGGGATGATTATTCCATATTATTCCCAATATATGGAAAGTCATGCAATTCATGTTCCAAACCACCAATCAGTATATATAATATCCTATACCCATAGGATCCATGTATGGTATATATGCTAACATGGCTGGGGTATATTGATGGTAAATGTTACCATATATAGCATACATGGATCCTATGGGTATTGAATCACATGTGATTGGAGTGTTTTCCAATTATTAACCATTATTAACTATAGATTAACCATAGATTAACCATTATTAACCATAGATTAATCATAATATCCTACATAGTAGTAAAATTACTTCCAACAGTTCCAGCAGTTCCCAGTACACCGAGGCTCGCCCAGCTTGGCCAACGCCACGGCTGCGGAGTGGGAGTTGCCCAACACGGCCACACGCTGCTGAGGGGCCAAGGCGGCAGTCAGTTGCTCCTGGGGATCGGAACGTCTATGGAAAATCTATGGAAAATCTCTAGAAATCTGTATGGAAAATCTATCGAAAATCTGTCGAAATTCTGCAGAAATCTATGGAAAATATGTAGAAATCTATGGAAAATCTATGGAAAATCAAATTGCCACCACTGGCTAGATATCTTATTATGATGTCTATATAAATATCTATCCGGTCCCAGATTAGAGACCCGGCGCTGGCTGACACCGCGGCCAACCACGCTACACCCAAGCTGCTCCAGTCCAGCCGGGGACCTTGGCCAGTGAGACGGGGAACTTTAAATTGAATACAATATTTTCAGATATGTCATGGGTTTACTCCGTGAATTTCAAGAATCAGAATTTATATGTTCGATTCGGATGTTGGCCCCCACTGGTTTCAAAGCAGATCCAATCCAATAAAATAGTGGTATAGAATCTTTACCAAATAATACCAAGTTCCATGTAATTTTGGTGGTGATATAATATTTCCAAAGCCACCTGAGCAAACCAGGGCACAATTTCTTGTTTCCACGAAATTCCATCAGTGCCGTTGCATGCCGCGTTGAATTTGTTTTGTCGGCATTTCAATGCAGTGAGAAGGTTGCACCCATTTTTTGAAAAATTAGCATTCACTATTGAAATCCAGAAGTGCACTTAAGCAAATCACCGCTCTATGTAAGAGAGCAAAAATCCCCTGGCACTTCATCACTCCGAAGCGCTTCCGAGTGCTGGGTCCCCCCTGTGATGGATCTATGGGGCGATTTTTTTTGATCGTTTTAGACCTGACCGAATCTTTTCAACATTCACTTAAGATAATAATTTTGTAGGCCTCGAGCACTCCGAAGCGCTTCCGAATGATGGAGTGATAGGGGTAACACGCGCCTTCCTCTACAACAGTGATTTGCTTAAGTGCACTTCCACATTTTGGAATTCGTTGCTAATTTCATTTTTCAATCAATCATTCACCCATTTGATCAGTCCAAGGGTTTGATATCCACAGAATTCCAGCTGAAGATCAGGGAATACCATGAGTAGTAGATTTCCAGGGCCATATCAGCGATAACTGTGAATCCACAAGGGAGGAATGGTGGTCTGCCAGCATCCTTGGAACTTTCGGTCTTCTCAGTGCTTCGTCGCCTTAGCCAGTCTTGATCGTCCTCCGGATGACCTGAGTTCGGCTTCGAAGTCTGTTCCTCAGGAGTAGAAAACCTAAGTTCTTCTTCTTTGGAAACTTTCTCATCACCATTCACCTTGGACCTCAACCGTTGATTCTCTGCTGTCAACGACTGGATCTGTTTTCTGAATTCCTCCTTTTCATCTCTGTCCCTAGCAATCTGAGACTTCAAAAATTCCACATCCCTTTCCATCTGACTCTGCGCAACTCTTGGGGCGTCAACATCCAAAAACATAGGACGCGGAACAGAACCAGTGAAAATGGACTGTGGGTTTCCGTACAGCCATGGTGCTTGGCTATGAATGAATCCAAAATTCCGCAACTGCTCTTCTGAAAACAACGGAACTTGTGGACCCAAAAACCCTCCTGGAGTTGCAGCCTCTGACATCGGTCCTCCAGGAGTTGCCATCTCGCTCCTCAGAGGTCGTTCCGCAGTCAAAGACCCTGATTCCACATTCTCATTCATCTTCTGGTCGCGCAAACCGTAGGAGGTGTCACCGTTACCCAGCTCAGGTGGTTGAGGTGGCGGATCAGTGGGCGGCTGCAGTGACTTGCTGGCTGAACCCTGAGTAGGACTTCTGGCTGGGGTACCCTTAGGGTTACTATCCCTCTTATCCTCAATGGGTGGGGACATCATAGCCTCAGCTTCTTCACCAGTCCCTTTTTCGGGTCCATCCTCTAGTGCTTTCTCACCTTTTTCTACAGCCTCCTTACGAAACCTTGCATCAGCCAACCTGATCTCTTCCTGACCCTGTTCTAGTTGGAGTGGGCCCCCCCACTCACCCACCCCTTACACCAAAATTCATCATATTTAATTAACCATCACCACCCACGCCATCATGGGGATGTGGGGACGTCCGATCAATATGTATAAGGGAAGGCATCTTTGAAATTTGGATTGTTAAAACTTTTTTGGTGCATGAGCCATACCTCATCCAACAAGGAATCTGGGCATTTGTTAAAACTGTGATATCGCATGAGTACCCTCTAACAAGTCCTTGGCTCAAACTTTACTTTTATGATAATTCATCCTCCGTTAATGTGACTTGGAATATTCTAATTAGACTATTTGACTACCTTAAGTGCTGGCAAGTATATACATGATTACACACACATAAAAATATATATATACATCTAATTAAATATATAGATATATATCAATATAAGCTATATATAGTTATATATATGTTATATGCATCCGAAATTGGTCCAAGTCCCAGTGGAACTGCCCGGGCTTGAAGCCGCCAGAAGTTCGATGAAGGAGAAGAGAACCACGGTGAGGTCCAACCAGTTCCTGGGCTCTCAGTCGGCCATCAAGCGGGAATCTACTAGCTGGGTGGTCGGGTCCTACCGCGCTGAAAAATATGAGGGTGGTTTTGGGATGATTGCTCCAGGTATTTCATACTTACTACCTCGGGAAAGGTTCTCCTTGGCCCGCCCCGGCCATTTCAACATACGGGATCCACCTCATTTAAACATACGTTAAATACAATCGCTTTACCAGGGGTGGAGAAATTCGGGCAAAAATGGGGGTATCATTGTTCTAGATTAGCAGATAAATAACAGGCTGATGGCATGTCTGATTGACGCATGGAGACACATTCACCTTCCCTCCCTCCATTGCATTCGGGAGATAAAAAAATTCGCCCGTCCTCTTATCAGAACAGTTTGTTGCAGGGGATGAACAACATCGACTTTCTCTTCAGGGGGGACACCCACATTCGCCACAACACCATCTTTTTTTGCCTTGCTTGCCGCTGCTGGTTTTGCGCCTGTCACCCCCCTCCCACCGGACGGCTTTGTGCTCGTCCGGTGGGAGGGGGGCCTGTGCGGCGACTTCTGTACCTCCGCTGCCCTTCGTTGGCCTGCGGCGGGGCGTTTTGGCAGGGCGACAAGGTCATTCAGTTTATTGATCGGAAATTTCCATCGGCCGGTATCATTAGAAGATGTTAATCCGCTCTCCCTCTCTCTCTATATCTTCATCATCTCTAGATCCGTGCATTTTATGAACTGGTCTTGCCAAGTATGAATTTGGAATGCGCAGTCTTGAAGTTGCACACCATTGCTTATAATTAAGTATAATGGTTTGAAATGTCATTAGATGGAAGATGGAAAGTTGCCTTTAGCGAATAGTTATTTTCCTATGCTGGTGGTCTTCCCGGGCCCCAGCTGTATCCCCGGCCTAGTCTTCCTCTTCCTCGTTCAGCCTGAACAGGCGCCTGCGTAGCTCGCCCACCAGGCGGGCCACCCTGCGTGGCCATGCCCTTGGGTTGTGGTGCCGCTGCAGGTTCAGCAGGCACCGGCGAGCGGCTCTGTGGACTTTCCGCTTCAACCGCCGGACCCTCAGGAGTTCGCGGACGGTGCCATCCACGATCTCCTTCGATGTGAATCAGATCAGGGCGGGTCCAATTTAAGGGGTCTAGAGTTATACAGATAGGCATAGCTAGATCGTAGAAACATACACACACATAAATATATATAAATAAATATATATATATATTATATATTTGTGTGTTGATACTTACATAAACAGTATATCTAATTACTGTAGGTGCGTAACCTTTTTCTTTTTTTTCGGATGTTTTCTGTTCTATTGCATCCATTGATCTTTCTGAACTAAGCGATGTCTCAATCCTGAGTGGCCGATCGTTATCATGTCTATTTATGAATATTGGATGTTGTTATTTTTAGACCTGATAAATTCTGTTCTCAAGTCGTTGTTCGAGGAAATGTATCGGTTCATCGGTGATCAACCTACCTGCTCAAGCAATCTATGATAGAATCAGGATATATATATATATATATAGTTGATGGTGCATCATTCGTGCTATGAAAAATTTGTGGAAATCTATGAAAAATCTATCGAAAATCTGTGGAAATTCTGCAGAAATCTATGGAAAATATGTAAAAACCTATGGAAAACCTATGGAAAATCTATGGAAAGTCTGTAGAAATTTATGGAAAATCTTTAGAAATCTATTGAAAATCTATCGAAAATCTGTGGAAATTCTGCAGAAATCTATGGAAAGTCTGTAGAAATCTATGGAAAATCTGTAGAAATCTATTGAAAATCTAACGAAAATCTGTGGAAATTCTGAAGAAATCTATGGAAAATATGTAGAAATCTATGGAAAATCTGTAGAAATCTATGGAAAATCTATGGAACATCTGTGGAAATCTATGGAAAATCTATAGAAAATCTGTAGAAATCTGCAGAAATCTATGGAAAATCTGTAGAAATCTATGGAAAATCTGTAGAAAAATCTATGGAAAAATCTATCGAAAATCTGTGGAAATCTGTAGAAATCTATGGACAGTCTATTGAAATTCTGTGGGATCGCATGGAAAGTCTAAAGAACATCTGCGGAATGTCTGTGGAAATCTTTGAACATCTATGGAAAATAATGTTTATAATAAGAGAAACTTTAAAAATGAGGTATAACATGGTATAACCAACCATAGGATGAGTCAATGGGAAACGATGTAGGATCTAAACATCAACCGTCATTGGAGGATCTGCAAACTATAAATTGAATACGATTTGTTTCAGGACATATTTTGTTATATATATATATACGCATACATATATATATATATATATATATATATATGGGAATTTAACTAAAACATATGGGGATAAAAATTTAATGGGTGTATATTGAGAACATTTTGGAGATATACCATATTGGGATATCATCACTATTTGACTTTTAAGTAACAAATCATGATCACATGAACATTCGGATAAAGCCAACTATTATATGAGGATATGGGGATATAAAAACAAAACAATATTTCACGGTTTTGACCAACCATCATTGGCAGATCTACCAACGATATATTTAGGATATAATTGGATGGGGAGTAGACTAACCACAGTAGGGATATATTAGGGCTGTAATGAGGAGATAAGTAGCCAGAAGTACATTGGGTATAAGTGAGTGTCCAGCACAATTGGTTTATTTTATGGATTCCTAAGGGAAAAAGCTGTATAACCAACCAACAAAATGAGGTTTGTGTGTTAGGCTGAAAATAGGGATTAAATCATTGTATATACTGGATACTACTTATAAATAATGGAAACAACCAGGAACTAAGGATCAACAATTGAATTGGAGTCGCTTGTTTGTACCCTACTGTCAATAAATATGAATACATCATGGATAGTGTTTACCAACAACCATGGTCCAGCCACAATTTTTGTAATCGGAGGGATCAGTCGCATACATATCCTCGTTAATGTTGTGTTTTCATCAATATTCATTGATAATAACACGTGGAACACAACTAGCAAGGTTCACCGCCATTACCTTTGGATCTCCAAACGTTACATATTGTATGTGGAGAAATGTGAAAACCGTTGGTTTGCTTCGGAAAATTATCCTCGACTTACCTTTTAAGCATCTATGTTATCTTTTGCTGGACGGCATCGTCTCAAGCTGCTAAGTTTAGATATAAAATACCAATTAGATACCACCATATTCACATAAAGTTTCATAAAGTTGTTGACTAGTATAGTGGGATATCCATTAAGTACCATAGTATTATAGGATATTTTCCAAAAAAAACAGTTGCCATCATGTTTCTAGACTCCTTGGACAAGTTCCATTAGATTCACATTCCGTCTTTGTAGATTATATGACAGTTAGGTCATCATAATAATCTATAAATAGTCTATCAATAATCTATAAATAATCTATAAATAATCCATTAAATACCTCCCCCCAAATAAATCACACCACATTGTATATAATTAATCATCTAATAATCCTGCATAAATTTTCCTCCATAATGAATCATCAAACGATAGATCATGATAGATCCATATCCCAAGAGCGAACTCCAGATCTCCACATCCCGTCCTTTTGGAAGGTAACCTCCAGCGACATCGACTTCTTCGAATTCCGCAGCACTTCGCACGTCTTCGGTTCGCCACCAGTTGCCAACACCACGGCGAAGGCCTGGTGCGGTGCCGACGCGGATGGGAGGATGTTGCGATTTCTTATCCGAGAAATCGCACTTTGGATTGGGTGATTTAGCTATTTAGCTATCAAAAGTACAATGTGAGGCCCCCAAGATAGCTAAGTTGGTTTATAACTCCAATAACTATGGTTTATGGTACTTATAACTATAGTTACTGGGGCGAATCTAAACCAACTTATAACTGGGGGGGCCCACATTGTAGGGTTTTTCATGGATCTGAATGGGATTCTTGGGATTGAATGGTACCCTCTGGTAACCAAACATGGCGAACACCCGAAAATTTCGAGAATTTTGCAAGGTACTGGGCTATAAACCAGCTACAGTATACGTGGAACATCCCCACTTTTATGGAATATGGATTCATTTGGAAATGGCACCAAGTAATTAAATTGAAGGGTTTCCAGGAAGCCATGACGGATGATTTACCTATCATGGTCTGGTTTCATAGCTATGTGGAATTAGCAAAGGAAACCGCTTGAAACCAATCATAATTGAAAAATGGAACTCAGATTGAAGATTGACTTCTGAAACCCACCTCCCAAGTGATGTTGCCATTATGGCCTCTCTCCCTCACAAATTCACCAGCAAAGCTCATCCAAGAGCCTGTCTATGAAGCGATACAAACGCCCAAAGGTCCAGGCAACACTGCGGATGTGTCTGAAAATGGGGCACTCCAGAACTCCAAAACGGTTGGTCAGAGCTTTTATCATTGTGTCCCTATCAAAATTGCAATTTTCGGTATACCCTCTGGTAAACTAACAGAACTATGGAACATCAACTATAAATGGCCATTTTCAATAGCTATGTAGTTTACCAGAGGGCACCCCATTTTTAGACACACCCAGTGCACGCGTCCCCGCCTTTAGGCTTTGTTCACGTCCCCTATCCTTTTGGACGATTGCCTCCCAACCGTTGGCACAAGGTGTCCTGAGCCCAGGATATTTCCATCCCGGTCCCACTGGTTTCACTGGTTCCTGCAGAAAAGGGACCCACAAGTTATGTATCAAACAATCCAACTGTGTATGCATGAATAACCATATTATATGTACATACATTATGTACAATATATACATTATATGTATATACATATTGTAAACTTAATCAAAATTACATAATTATACAGATTCAAACCCCCAATTGATCTAGTGAAAGAACCCAAGTTACCCTATCGCTTAGGGCCTTCATGGGCCTTCCAACCTTCGTCCCTTCGTCGTCCCCCATTCTACCAAGCATCAGCTTGGTTACCTTGCCCCGAACGTGTGGCACTCCTGGCATCATGAATCCCCGATCAGCACCGGGATTCCCCAATCAGAACTAATGGAAGAAGAATCAATTATTAGCGGTAACTAATGGGCAATCCCTATTTAGAAGTATAATTTTTGACCATTGCAAATCATTTTGCGATATCATGTAATATCCATTAGCAACTAACTATAATAAGCATCTAACTATTAGTAACATAACCAACTAAAGAAGCATGTACATGCATGTACCAATGATTTTCAATGGGAACATCACTTCTGAACCAATTGGGTCTCTGTTCAGCCATGTTTGACTAGCAGAAAGTATGAGATATGTGTCAACACATTTATAGCCCACAAATAAAGCAATCAAATTTAGGTCAAAATCATAAAGACGGCATGCGAAATGAATGTTAAGGCGGCTGATCAGGGTTTGGAGTACCTGAAAGAAAAACATGAAACTGGCTTTAGAACCACATGTGATTGTCAATACCATTGTTATAACCACACTGGCAGGAGAATAGAAAAGACACTCATTGGCATCAGCTGACTGAACTAGTTCTCAGCCTCAGGACCAAATTTGGGGCGCACCTGCATCGAGCAGTTGACTCGTGGCCAATTGGAACACGTCTTTACAACGACCCAAAGAGGTCCATCCCATGGTAGAAGGATCGATACCTGGAATCAGACCGCGCCATGACTCTTGGGCTTTAAATCCCAAGAAACATGGAGATTTTACTGGAACAATTTTCTGTAAATAGCTGGGGAAATCTCCAACTCACTGGGAGTTTCCAGTGGCGTTGACACGGTGTATGGGCATTCGCAAATTGAAAAGACTGAACTCCATATTATACTAACAGTACACAATATATATATATATACATACACAATATTCAACTCTATATGAACAGTATATATCATTATAAGTGCCAATCTTAGATACCCTGCAACAAAAAAAACTTAGCTGGTTAGTAGATAATCCCATTGATACCAAAAGACTAAATGATTAAAGTACCCATCCAATCAATGGAAATTTCACGATCCTAAATCCTAAAATGGAGGTACTGTACCATATAAGGCCATGTTGTTGGGATATTCCCTTACATAAGCCTTTAAAAAAGGCCTTATATATATATGGTAGGTGCCTGCAATGAATCGGTTCCTGAAATTGCCATTGATCTAAATAATCATAGATAATCCCATTGATACCAAAAGACTAAATGATTAAAGTACCCATCTAAGATTGACCTAGTTATTAGTGCTGAACTCATTCTCCTAAAACCTGGTTCAGCAAGTTTTTTCAACTCAACCAGCGATCGGATCAGTGCTTGATTTTTACACCACAAGAGTGGTACCCCCTCCCCAGCTATCAGTTGCTCTAATAAAAAAAAAAAGCCTCCATATGCCTCCATTAACTAGACATCATATATATATATCTACACATAGAGTTATAAAGTTGCTTTGCAGCAGCAACAATTCATCATGTAAATGTATACTGTATACTCCATGTGACATATTATTAATTCATGTGGGGAAAACAATAATAAACCATCCCCCAGTCATTACGATTTTTATAGGTGCTATAAACCATTCCCAAATGGATGGTTCATGGCATTGTTGTAACCACATTACATGGGCAAATTACAATAATTCACAAACCAGAAAAAAGGCTATATTGGGATAATTCCCCGAATCCGATTCCCATTCCAGGCTTCAAACTTTTTGTTCGGTCGTGATCAAATTGACCCAAATATACCGGTTGATATTATACCTACCCCTCTGAAAAATATGAGTCAGTTGGGATGATGACATTCCCAAGACATGGAAAGTCATAAAATTCATGTTCCAAACCACCAACCAGTGATGTATAACATGGTATAAGCAACCATAGGATGAGTCAATGCGAAACTATGTAGGATATAAACATCAACCGTCATTGGAGGATCTACAAAACGTATATCTACCATAGCCATCCACTTGGTGACTGGCTCCCGCGTCATCGTCCAGTGGCTGCCGTTCAGCTCATGCGCCGTGTCTCTCAACGTCTCCAGTGCTTTGGAGATGTTCACCTCCTTGGCGCCGTGGCCATGGCAGATCTGACGAGAACCGATGATGTATCCGCAAACATACAGACTTTGAGTAGGTCTCTTGGATTGTATTAATAGTGTGTATGTATAATATGTATATATATGTATATATATAAATATAGTTATATACATAATATATATTTATATATATATATAAGACTAACATAGCATACATATTCATCCATATTAGATTTAAATAGATTTAATTAATACAGTGTATAGCGCACATATTCCTCCAGTGATAACGAATTCACCGAGGTTTACCCACTGAAAAAAAAACGAGTTCGCCGCGCCTTGTCGTTGAGAAGCGGGTGACCAAAGTTCTTCTTGGAGACCTTGGATTGGAGAAGCCGTGCATCACTGGGGTTTATTCTGAAACTGATTTAAATCGAATACCCCCGTTTTGACCAATGGATTATGATTATGATAATTTTATCCAATGAAAGTAGTTAATTTGGGGGCACACATGAATATATAATTACCCTATTTCTGGGCAATCCTTTTGGTGATGCAACCTCTGCAATTTCCCTTTCCTGCTTAGAAGATCAGATTCTTGTAAGCTGAGCTTAGGTTTCTATCTTTGTCAAAGGGGCCAGTGATACACACCGAACGCTCTCCAATGTGAAATGCATCAATTTTTTGTTTGCATAGAATTTTTGCAAAACGCATTTGTAATGGATGTCACGCAGATTCCAACTCGAACACTATCCAAAGGAGCTCAAAGGGGTAGTATGCACGGTGGGGATCACATGTCGACCACATTAGGCAACTTGCCCAACCATTCCTAATCGTTCCCACCTATTCCCTAAAAAATACCCCTATCCCATCTCAATAAACTAGTTGGTCAATAGGTTTTTCAACATGGCAATATAAGCAACAAAAAGCATAATCCATCCATCATAACATAATTATCTCCAATAATCCGCATACTAACCATTAACCAGTCCATGGTATTTAATAGTCAATAATCCGTATACTAACCCATCAATATTAAGCATTTTTGGCTCAACTCTTCCCCAAAAAACATCACCAAAATCGCCATAGCCTGTCAGCCAGACATTCCACACCAAGCGTCCAGGATGTCCACTTTGGTGTTGCAAGGCACGTCCATGTAACGACAAAGGCGTCCAGAGTTGAACTCAGGATCCACCCACAGAACTCGCCTCAAGCAGCGAAACAAAGTGGATTTCACCAGCAGAAATTGGAACATTGAGCTATGTAATAATGGGATATTATGGGTATTATGTAACCATTAATGGGTATCATAGAGTATATGTACCATCATTGGTTACTTCTTGGGATATGATGCGTATTACGTAACCAGTGAATTTGGCGACTAGACTCCGAGACTTTGCCTGTAAAACTTGCCCAAGATTTCACCAGCTACGGCAAGTTTCAATCGAAACTTATTTACAATGGCATTACTGTTGAGCGTGTATCAGACCCCCACAACTTCTTGAACACAGATCTAGACATGTCCTTGTGGTCAATCTGGGTTTTCGGTGCTGTGCTGGTGAAACTGGCCGAATCATGCCAAATCCACTTCTCAGCCCCTTCATATTCGTGGATGATTCGTGGAACGTTGAAATATCTCAATAACCAGGGAGCACTCCCGTCCTTTCAGTTTCCCCAACAGCTTAGGAATATCAAGGTGAACACCAACATTCCCACAGAACATACCATTCATTCGTCCAACATGCATGATGTCATTAACTGACTAAGCAAACAAGTGAGATGTGTTTCTATGTTTACAAACATTGGTGTTCATTCTTCCAACCCTTAACAAGTAACAAGTGTCCTCGAATCTACCAGCCCCGTGCAACAAGGAATAGGCTATAGGCTATAGGACTGATTTAACTCCGCCACTCCCTTAGCATAGATGATCGATGGTTTTTTGAATCAGCAACCCCTAGAACACTATTCTGTTCCCTTCCGGCACAATCCCTTCCCCCATGGTATCTACTCCCATCCCCCGAAGTTTGGATGACACACCCGAGAGATCGTTCCAGTCATATGTGGTAAAATGTGTCATCCCCATCCACCATGGTTTCTGGGGGTATTCCAAACTCCGCCCATGGCCTGCCCTGTGAACGAAGTGCCACTACAGCAGAAACACCTGCAGGACCTCCGGAGAATTGGGCAGCACTATCTGAAAATAGGGCATGCCCCCCAAAATGGCGTTCAAAAAAACACTTGGAAACTATGGGAGCATGATTCTTGTGACATGCACCCCATTCTTACCTCATTTCACATCCATTTCTTCCAGTAGCCACTTTTCTTCAAACCCGACAGGGGAAATCTTTGGAACCTTGGTCTGAACATTGGGCTACTCCACAAATTTGCCATTGTCATGAGCAAAGGATGGCACAGATAAAATGTTTTTTTCTGGGGAGGTACCCGACTCTCTGGTTTTTCATGGCCGCCTTCAGTAGTTCGCCACCCTGAAATGTTCGGGTGATGGTGACATCATGGCGAGATCGCTATCGTACAAAGATGATGGCGATTCTGTTTCATGTTCTACGATGTTTGAAATAGAAAGCACACGTGCATGCCGTAGTGCTCATAATATATAATTATATATATATATATTACTTTATATATATATATATTAATATTCAATATATATTATAGCGTTATAGAACAATCACATGGAATAAGCGGGAATCTACTATTGACAGGAAACACGCAGTGTCTTTCCAATTGGTTTAGGATGGTTTAGGTCTTCCGTGCTGTTCAGGTCTGACTTATGGCCTTAATCGTCGGGTAATGGTGGCACCTCCTGGACGTAAATCAGCTAGGCTTATCACTTGGACATGGCATGGAAATCGAATGATTATTAATAGTTATTGGTGATCACTGATTATAGATAATTACTTTCCATGCCACTAAGCTGGGCTTATCAGGCTTATCATTTGACCAGTGGTCACTATCAAATCCTTACTGGTGCTAAACGTAGGGAATGGATGGGACTGGGGGTTGCTGGGATGATTATTACTAGTGATTATGGATCATTCCCTCATTCCCTACTAAGCACCAGTAAGAATATGGAACAGATTTTGAGACCAATGACCAGAAACTTGTAAAATCTTGTAATCTATTTTGCAACGCCAACATCAGCGTCATAAGCCTTACTTGGTCCTAGTCCCCAGTAGGATCAAAATGACAGGTAGGACATGCATCAATCAGTTGAAAAAACACCCAAGTATCGCATGTGCTCGAAGTTTCACACCCAAGATCTTGGATCACTTGGATCTTTAGCAACCAACTTCTCTGAACCAAAAGCCTCGCTCTTTCAATACATTGCAAGACTCATGTGATCTCAATTTCATCTCACTCCGTGTCAACTATGATGGGAATATCTCCCCCGATCATCTCACAGGTGATCTCACATTGGGTGAACCTCTTCATCCCGCTTGGTGTCTGAAAATGCTAGTTCATATTTGCCAAATGATCATGGAAAAAAATGTTTGAAACCATTTGATCTGATGGGTTTTGGGGCTATCCCTGATTTGCAGAGAAACCCACCTCATATTAAGTTGCTGATGCATCCCGGCAAATCTCAGCCATTCCCCGTAAAAAAATGTTGTTCGCACCCATCATTTTTACAAGGTAAGGTTGCCCAAATATAAGTTAGTCAGCCTATATTTATTTATAGACCCCATAAATGCTATAGTTAATTCAGTACCAAAAACCCAGCAGTACTTGCCGTTATGTTTACCAACATCGCTACCAGAAAAAGAAACAACTATTAAATCCCATTAAATCCCCATTTTTGTTGGTCAAATCACCATTTAACGAGGGCCCCACCCTTGGAGACATCAACTGGGCGCCTGCGCCCACGACCAACACATCGGCAGACACAGAGGGCTGGAACCATCCACAGCAGGAAGAGGAGCCTCCGGTGTGCGCTCTAGGTATCTCCAGGGGATTTGATTGGATTTAATAGGCTCAGAATGGGATGTCATGCGGTATTTCATGGGATTTAATGGAATTTGATGGCATTGAATTTAATATGAACTCAAACAGCAACAAAAACATCTAGGGGTGGAAAAATGAACATTCACATATATTCATGTGTTTTAACCAGCAACCAATTTTTTTTTTGGGATTTGAATGTATAACCAACCAGGATTTCACGTCAGGGACCATGATGATAAACCGTCAGAATTTGGAGTACCAAATGAGGGTTTGACAATCAGAAAATGTGGATCTATAACTAGAATAAACAGAATTGTGTGTTGAGCCGGAAATACTTGAGGTTCTATGTAAGACAATTTGGGGTTTGATTCAAAAGTCAAACATGGTTCGGGTAAGTATGTACTACCTCACAATAAACATCATGTTCCAACTCATATTTAGGATTCGGTTTACCCAAAACGGGCAATCAGCTACCAAGATGATGACGATGATGATGATGATGTTGATGTTGATGATGATGTTGATGATGATGTTGATGATGATGATGATGATGATGTTGATGATGATGACGTTGATGATGATATTGATGATGATGACGATGATGATGATGATGATGATGATAATGACGATGATGATGGCGATGATAATGACGATGATGATGATGATGATCATGATGATGATGATGATTGTGATGATGATGATGTTGATGATGTTGATGACGATGACGATGATGATAATGACGATGATGATGTTGATGTTGATGATTATGTTGATGATGATGTTGTTGATAATGTTGATAATGTCGTTGATGATGATGTTGATGATGTTGATGATGATGATGCTGATGATGATGTTGATGATGATGAGGATGGTGATGATTATGATGATGATTATGATCATGATGATGTTGATGATGATGATATTGATGATGATGTTGATGATGATGTTGATGATGATGACTATGATGATGATTTTGATTATGATAATGATGAGGACAATGATGATGATGTTGATGATGATGATGATGAGGATGATGATAATGTTGATAATGTCGTTGATGATGATGATGATGCTGATGATGATGTTGATGATGATGAGGATGGTGATGATTATGATACTGATGATGATGTTGATGATGATGAGGATGGTGATGATTATGATGATGATTATGATGATGGTGATGTTGATGATGATGATGTTGATGATGATGTTGATGATGATGTTGATGATGATGTTGA